AGAGAGAGAGAGAGAGAGAGAGAGAGAGAGAGAGAGAGAGAGACCAAGGAAGTTATTTTCGAAAAATATCGTATATGATATTTTTATGAAAAGCTATAGTTCATAGTTCATGTACTATAGCTTTTTATTGGAACATCGTATACGATATTTTTCAAGAATACAGCCCCAGGTCGAAACAGTAATATCGCACGATATTATTCAAGAGTTCGATCTCTTAATTTTCCCGTGTGACAATAAAAACACGATGAAAATGAACAGCGAAACGTGCTGTAATTATTTCTCACTCGGCATTTTGTCGGAATGTGATCCGACGAGACAAAGAAAGAGAGGGGGAGAGAGAGAGAGAGAGAGAGAGGTGATAGGGTTGCGAGATAATGATAACAAAAGTCTACTGACTGTGACAATTGCGCTGTCGAGTCCTGCTGGAAAACATCAACAACGACGAGTCGCACCGACAATTTCAATAATCGTACTTCCGTTTGTTTTTGAAACAGGAAAGGTGGACCCGACGCCGCACACCTCCTCCTTCAACATGGGCTACCTCGTCTCGCCATACCCGTACCCCAATGGTGCCGGAGGACCCATCCCCGTCTCTATGGTGAGTGGTCCGGTTATGCTTGTTTTCGTTTTATTTCCGTCAAATTTGGCATGCCTCAGACTTGCCACCGGCTGGCTCGCTCGCGCTGCCCTGCCGCGGCAGGTCCCTTTTGTTCTCCGCGACGACGACGACGACGGCGACGACGCGTCGCTGGCACACCGCGTCTTTTGTCCGAAGCCTCGATCCGACTTGGCCGGACTGTCCCGCGCCGGATCGTGATCACGGTATTGATTTATGGCCTTCGCAAATTGGATTCACGATTTATATTTGCAAACGCGCGCGCTCCACTCCTTCTGCCGCGCGAGCTTACGATTAATCGCGCCGTCCACCGTCGCGATAGCGCCGAGGACAGCGGTCGTCGTTGATGAGGAGAGAACTCGCGCGAAACTTACGTGGTCGGGAGAATTGCACGATAAATGCGACTCGAAATTTTAGTTCTAGCTTACAACCTAAATCTTCTCAACATCGAACGTAATAAAAGCCCTATAACTCCATGTCCGCAACATTGCTTTAATTTTTAAGCCGTAAGAAAGATTGACCAACTACAGTTGATTACACTCAACTTACAGTTGATTACTTTCGAGAAAAATTGAATTTTTTTCGTGACACGAGTACGAATAGTCATTTCCCATATATTTTTTCCAGCTGAACACGAATCCGTCCAAATTTGGCTATCACATCACAATTTTGAGAAAAATGGCGTCAAAGAGGCCAAAAATATCGATTTTTGAGGGTTTTCGTGGTGGTGTAACGCAAACAGTAAATTTGTTTTCTACGTTTCGTTAATATCACGCAAAAGTATTAACTTTTAGCTCGAAAATGCATCTCGTCTAGTTTCCCAATGATTTTTTGTTTTCAACATATGGCCAATCAGAAACAGTCGTCGGCATCAATATCACTGGGCAGAACAATTTTTTTTGCAAGAAGGCGAATAGTCATTTCCTACATATTTTTGCCTGCTGAACACGAATCCGTCGTTCAAATTTAGCTATCACATCATAATTTTGAGAAAAATTCAGTAAAATAAAAAGATTCCCGTACTCAGGTATTTTAGTCTCTTCGACACCATTTTTTTCAAAATTGTGATGTGTTAATACACATCGAAACTGAATTTCTATTTAAAAGTTGTTTAGTTTCTAAATGGCAGAAAATATATATACAAAATGTCACTTGTGAATTGCAAAAAGGACTTCTCGACAGTCGAGAATCAACTTAAATAGAATCAAGGGTATCAAAGTAAGCGCTAAAATAGAATATTGAAGTCGAAAGCAGGATCAGCATTTCGATTCGGGTATGTTTAATACACACGGGAATTGAAATCTTTCTGAACGCCTCTAAATAGTAGAAAGAGTACGAAATGGCACTGGTTCTGAATAGGCTCAGGAAGAGGATACACACGTCAATCTATACCCTATTCAGAATATATTAATGTGCCTGGATGAATCCCTTTGAAAAATTTCAGCAAGTTTAGACGAGTTGGACTTAAATCTATCAGCTTGAGAGATTATGCAATTATTTTAGTTATAAAACAATAAAAACCATCCACAATGGGGTTGGCAATAGGCAGTAAGCAAACTAACCGATTGATTAGTCGATCAAGAATTCTATTACTACCAACCCATTGTAGATCGATCTTAAGTCTGGTGAAAAACTGGGGCTAGAGAGTTACTATTAGCACAACAAAAAGCAATCGACTAGTCACGATGGATCCTCAGGGATCTAGGTTATTCGAGGAATTATCCAGGCAAACTTACTACAATCTACTATTACTACTTATCACAAGAAGTCATTCCTTTGAAAGAGAAGCACAGTATTGGCTGTGAACGCAACATCTAGTTGTAACGGTTGAGCTAAATCTTATTTTGTTAATATACCGTACTGCCGCGAGCGACGGCTAGTCAAGGCTAGTCAAGCCATAGCAGAGGCGAGAAAGAAATGAGCAGAGCGATAGACGCACACAAAAAGTAGTGCACGTTTTGTACGAATTCCAATATGTCCCGCGTTTAAGTCGTAACACGTCTACTAAATAGTTTTGACTTCTAATCCCTTTATATAATGTAAGGATATAAACATAATGAATAATTTCATTCATAACTTAGTAATAGTTAAATTTCTAGGGTTCCAAAGTAGGGATCAAAATTTCGACTCGGTAATACAGATGGAGATTGACGTCCTATTTAGCGTCTCTAAGCTAAAAGGTAGCAGAAAAGGCACAAAATGCCACTTGTAGGTTCCAAAAAGGGCCTCTCGGCAAAAGCTATAGTAGATTCAATAGAATCAAAAGAGGTTGATGTAGGATTCAGAGAATAAAAATAGGCGTCGAGTGGAATATTGAGGTCGTAGGTGGGTGATCAAAGGTTCGACTCGGGAAAACTGTCGCGAGAAAATAGATAGCTTTTGCAGCACGTGTGTGCGGTGCGTTCGAAAGAAGCGAGAGGGTTAAGCCGCGGCGATCGATTCGCGCGCCCCGTGCTTCCGCGGATTCGGCTAATTCGGCTGCGGCGAAGCATGGCGTCGCTAAATAGTGGGCAAAATTGGGCCGATTCGGTGTTAAAGAGAGCGTGGCGCGCGCGCTCGCGGTTGCGATCTCTCGCGGGCGCGTCGCGCTTTGTGCACGATTCCACGGCGCGTGAACCCATTAAGGGAGGAGAGCCCACGTCGATTCTTTACGGCCGATAAACCGCGCGCGAGCCGGCGACGGCAAACCGCGCGCGACGACGTTAATTCTTCATGACGCTCGAAATGCGACGGCGATTACTACGCGGCGCGGAACGAACGACGCGGTGATGATAAATTATTGGGAATTATATATCGCGGTAATGTGCGTTCGCGCGTTGACCACTCAATTTCGCCGTTGTTTCATTTACCGTGGAATTTCGCGTTATATCAATATATGTATATATATATGCATGTGTATGTATATATATATATATATATATATATATATATATATATATATATATATATATATATA